TTTAAAAGACTGTAGATGTGGTGCTCAGGGACATGGTTTAGTGGTGGACTTGGCAGTGTTAGGTTTACTGTTGGACTTGATGATCTTAAAGGTCTTTTCCAACCTAAATGGTTCTATGGTTCCTCTGTGAGCTCATTAAAGGAAAAAGTAGAGCAAAAAAGTTGATTACAGTTGACAAAATCTGTTTATTTTCTCCATATGTAAACATGTCTTCCTTCATGTAAGAATGCATCTTGGATTACCTACAGTTTGTATTTTTGAAGAGGCTATTCTGAGAATGAGGAACACCAGCATCTCCCAAATATATGCCAGTTTTGGGCCTGGCTAACCTGCTCTTTTCTAGTTTGCTGCAGGAAAGTCCAGGAGAGAGTAACCAACCTGGCATTTTTTTCTCCCTCAGTTCCTCAAAGATGGAATCCCATACATGAATGAGGTACAGGAGAAGATCCTTAGCCAGCATCTCTTAGAGAGTAGCTGGAAAATCAGCAGGTGAGTGCTGTTCAGAACAGTGGCTCCTCAGTACTGAGTACTGCGAATATTTGTCTATATTGATAGCTCCCCTTCACTCAGATCACATTTTGGAGAAATATTAAAGCCTATTGGTCTGAATGCCTCGCTGCCAGCTGAGATCAGAGGATACAATCCGGAGAGATGGGTGGATGTTGCGAAATGATGATTTTGCGTTCCCACAGCAAGGCTCCACCTGTAAAAATATTTTTCTCATGCTCTACCTCTTTCCCCCTGATCTTGCTTTAGTGCTCTGGACAGGGATGTGCTGAAGGCAGCTATTGATGAAGTGACCCGTTGGATAGCTGCAGCAGAGGAAGAGGAGACTATGATTCTGCAGGATCTGAGTGGTATGAAACAGGGAGCTCCCTTGGGCACCTGTGGGCTCTGAGTGGCTTCATCACTTCTGAGCCTCTGGGGCTGCTACTGTCCTTTGCTGCCTGTTCTGTTAAAAACCGCTCTGTTGAGAGTGAAAGCTCCTGTGCTCATCCTGTCTACGCTTTGCATCTCTGGGCTCTGCTTTTCTGCTCTGTTGGAGTGGTGGGTCTCCTGTAGTGGAAGCGGGTTTTGTTTGTTTTCTTCCCTTTGGAGAAAGGAAAGGCAGGTCTCCTTTCAGAGTTTGTTCCTTCTCATGTGGAGCAACAAGGAGCCCCAGGGAGACATATCTATGCCAGTGGGGATAAACAGGCTACTTGACTACCTGCATTAGCTTTGGGGAGCACTATAGCAGAGCTGAGGAATTTCTGTGCTGCTTTGGAGGAGTTGAGGTACAGGGAATTGTAGCAGAGAATATTTTGTAGGTTTGCTCATAGAAACCAAATCTTAATCCTCTAGGTCAGGGAAAAAAATACAGAAAAGGTTAGGAAGCACAGAAATTACTAAGGCTCTGTCTATTGATGCACTTTTGCAGAGTGTGAAATACAGGGGGTGGGGATTGAGATATGTTTTGTATCAGCTACATCAGCTGTAGACTTAATAGGGTCTGGCAACTGTGAGCACCTGTGACAAGAAAGACATTTATATAAGTAATCAATAAAACTAATTAATAAAACTGTGCCTTTTTGCATGCTGTTCACAAGAGGACTGGGTTTGTTCCTTATCAGCTGTGGGGGAAAATGCATTGGTACTTCTCATCTGTGCTTGGTTTCTGGGTATGTTGCTCTGGAGCCTTTCGACACCCCAGTCAGTCTTTCTCAGAGTAGTAGTCTTCCTCTTCTTTTCAGTTAGTACTTTCCTTTCCTCTGTGTCCTCGCAAAAATTTATTTGCCTTAAATTCTCATTGTGACTTTTTTTTTTGCCCCCCCTTTTTTTTTTCCCTGTCATCGTGTATGGTAATGTACCAAGGTCATACATTCAGCAGTATTTTCTGTACACTGGGGGAGAGACATCTGGTCAGTCCTGTCTAGAAAAATGTGTTTTCCCAAATAGGCTAGTCTGCATGTCTGAAGTGCAGTTTTTACTACTACTACTACTTTTTTTTTTTTTTTTTCCTTTTGGTCTTAGACTGCCAGATGTTTGAAGTTCAGCTGGTTCTGAGACAGGCTCTCCAAAATGTTTGGACACAGCCTCTTGGAGACAAGAAGGTGAGATGGAAATGGGGACCTTTTGAAAAGAGGGTTTCAATCTAGACAGGTAAGACTGGTATTCTTGCAGGGACTCTGAAATGTTGCTTGTACTTCTAGTGACAGGGTCCAGGAGGAGAAGACAGGGACAAAATAATGTTCTGGGAAGTGTTGATTGTGGAATCCCAAGCAAAGGGATCCAGAAAACTGAGTAACTTTGGTTTCTTTTTGTCTGGTAGCCACAAAATGCCTTGATCTGCAAGTGCTCGTCCTTGAGGAACTTCTGGAGGGACCCTGTCTGTGTCTCCAGACTTTGTTAGACCTCTCCTTCAATACCTCCACAAGAATGTACAGTTTTTAGCCTTTTTTTTTGTGGTTTTCCTTTGCTGACTTTTGCCATGTACTTGCTTTGAACACCTTTACTCTGTCTGTTATATGGCATGCTGTTTTGCTAATTGCTATTGCTATTTTACATTTTGTGCAGTATTTTCTGTATTAAACCTATGGCTATGGTCCTCTCAAAACCTGGTGTGAGTATGATAGCAGTCAGTTGCTTAGAAGTAGATTATAAAAGTCTGTACTATTTTGGTCTGATAACCAGTGTCAACAGCAGGACAGATTTACCCAGCCTTCTCACCTGAAGCATAACCTTTGGGGACTGAGTTTCCATGATTGCTGTTTGTTTCTGGTTTTTAGTGCCATTAACTTACCATATTGGTGTTAAGCTAAAGGGAATTATGTTCTTTTGTGCTCCAAAAAAACTTTGGTAGGAACCATCCTCCTAACAAGAGAAGGATTAATAAGGCACTCTTAGAGCAGGTCTTCTGTTACACATCTCCATATAGAAGAGAAGTGAGACAGTCCTGAGGTCCCAGGGGATGCACAGTTTCTCTATCCTTTGCAGCCTAGAAGCTGAACTTGTCCTCAGCATTACTGAACCCCAGTAAGCAATGTACATACAACTAGCATGGGAGGCTGCAATACCCAGTGACTGTGCTTTTCAGGTAATGGTGAAAAAGGTGAGTCCACAGCATCGTCAGCTTCTGGAGAACTCTCCTTATGACTACTGCCAGAAGGAGCTCATTCTCCTGTCTGCTCGGGGCTTCACCAACCTCTTCCAGACACTTGTTAAAGCCAAGAAGGTAAAATGCCTCATCCCTACTCTCATTTTCCATCTCTTTTTGATTTGTTACACTGGATGTAGAGAGATGATAAAAGATAAGGTAACAATTTGTATTAGATGACTCAACTCATTCAGTGTGATCATCCTGTTTAGTTGTCAGTAAAATTGAGATGAATCTTGGATTACAGTCATGGTTAGAAAAAAGAGTGTTAAACATTACATCTTCTTACCAACCAGGTCCCACTCCCAAAGCATGAGAATGATAGATCTAAACACTAGATTTTCCTGTGTTACTCTTCTATTATTCGTGCAACCCAAGTGCAGCCAGGGGAGAGGGAGCCAGACTCCATTCATTCTGCAGTGTGTTTCTTACATCACTTGAGAAAATGCAGGAGTCCACAACGTTGAAAATCCCTGTGTTACACAGCACGCGTCACCATCTAAGACAGCTGAGCCTTTTGGGCAAGTTATGCTTCTCAGCATGCGACAGACCGGTTTATTGGACCATGTGGACCATTGGTCTGATTATGTGTGGATATTCTTATGTTCTGTGTGCAGATTATTGAATGAATTTCAGCTTCAGAAGACTACAGGTGATGTGCAGGCAAAGGCTGTCCCTCTCCTTGTGAGTGAGCCTGTAAAGCTGATCGCTGGAAGATTTTACCAGTGTTCAGCTGAACCAAGAATCCACCTAGCTCCTTAGGTCCACTGAAAATAGACTGCTGCTAAAAAAATACTCTCCTCAGAGAGTCCACAAGTCTCATTTCCTGAAAGCTGTAGTCCTCCTGTGAGCCTGCAGCCTGAATGACTTTTGGGTGGGTGTGTGTGGATGCTGTCCACTGGAGGAAAGGATTACAGCTGTTGAGCATGCCTAAAGTTGGTTATCTCGGAGCTCTCTTCAAAAATATGTTCCAATGGGCTGTTGTGTTTGTATTCTTTCCATAGCCCCTGGTGGGACACAACATGCTTATGGACCTTATGCATCTTCACGACAAGTTCTACAAGCCCCTGCCAGGTAATGCTGTACATAGCTGCTGGCCCCAGGCTGCTGCCTTTGCAGCGGGGATGGGACTGTAAGCACAGTGGTCATTTCTCACCCCAGCCACTCACAGAGCTTAGCAAGTAGCAGTGCTAGTTGCCTCTTTGGAGCTCTAACTGCTGGAGTGGTGCATCAGTCCTCTGACTTCACCCCTTTCTCTTACTCATTTGAAATACCATTGGCTTTTCCTCAGTTTTACGATGTCTTTCTCCACATGTGTTTTGTTTTCAGAAAGCTATGAGGAATTTAAAAGGAACATTCACAACCTGTTTCCTGTCCTCATAGACACCAAGACTGTAACTAAATCCATCTGGAAGGTGAGATGCAAAGGTTTTTTTTTGTTTGGACTTAAAGCTTGTCCTTCACCCAAAGGAGAGGGTATCTTTCCTCAGTGCCCTGTGGTTGCAGAACTGTCACCAGTTCTCAGTGTTGCCCTGAGGCATTCTGATTTTGCATCTCATTTAATGAATCAGCAGTACCAGTAAATAAGCTTATTTAACCACAAGGTCTGTTTTAATTGGTCTTCTAACACCTTCTTCTTTTACAGAAATGTCACTTTCCTCGAGCATCTAATCTTTTGGAGGTGTATGCGGTTTTGTGCAGGTAAGTGGTGGGCTATAAAGCCTTCAGCAATTCCTTTGTTTTCTTGGGAAAAATATTTCAAAGTCAGACATTTCATATGTTTGTACTTTCCCTCCCCCCAAACGTTTTTCAGATGGTTTATTGTCTTTCTAAATTTAAAAGAAAAATATTTGCTGATCTTTCTTAGGAAGTTAATTGTGGAGTAAATTATTTGTTCTAAGTCACTTTTCATACTGTACCACCATTACTTCATTGGTCACAAGTTTGGCTTGCAGACAGCTTTACTTAAGAGTTTTATGTTGCTTATGTTGTGTTAGAAAATGAGTGAGTTTCAGTTCTCGTACCTCATGAGCTTAGCCATGGTGTGGTAGAAGAGTTCTCTTTTTTACACTTCTTTTGTGGATAAATTTTTTTAATTATAAGAGAAGGAGAATTTCGCCTCTTCCTCTCGCCCCCTACTCCCAAGAAGGAGATACAAAATTAGTGCTTATAAAACTGTACTGGGATTCTGGGGTTTTTGGTTTGTTTGAGCAATTTTGGACTGCACATTCTCATGAGTTTTTATGGTGGTTTGTTCTTTCTTTTATTTCAGTCATTCCATGGTTATCTGTTTATTAATTTGTTCTCCAGAGTTCCCCATTCAAATAGAATCATCTAGTCAACCCCTTTCCTTGGAGTTCTCCACTGAGTTTTAGTTCTGTTCACGTTTTTTGTATGCACTTAGAGCAGATTTGCTGCTTAGAAGTCTGAGGAAATATTTAGGAGTTAGTTTTCAGGAAGAAGACTGATAGATATTATTCAGCGAAGTATCTTAGCCTTTTTATAGGATACTACTGAAGTTCCTTTTAAAGTCTTCAGTAGCTTTTTTGTAAGTGAAGCCACAGGTCACTAGAGAACAGTAACTTGTCTCTAACGTACTGAGGAAAGACAAAAATCTTACACATCCATTTGTCTTTATCAGCAGCCTGAATCCTGAAGATCCAACGTGCCCAGTGATAGCTCTGGCAAGTGACTGCTCACAATATGGTATGTTCTTAAGCAAATCTTCAGCGTTGGGTAGCTAAAGGGGTTTTGTTTTACTCTGTGGATGTCCACATGCAAAGCATGAGTGAGGGCCAGTGGGTCTGCTGAATTTGTACAGAGCTGCTGCTAACACATTTTTGTCCAGACCCAAAACCTGGGTTCCCGAACTGTCGTGTGTTCTGCATGTCTGCTAAGCTTTCCAGCCATTTGTGCAGCTGCTGCCTTTTTGTTGGTATCATTTCAAAATGCATGGTAGAGGCATAGAGTTTCTATGGGGTTTAAAGGTTTCAGGGTGAGAAAGGAAACAAAGCTGAGGGTAAAGGGAGGTGGGGGGAAAACTCCGAAACAGGACAGTGGATCTTATGAATGTTGGGATTCTGCAGTGGAACAGTTTCCATAGTGTGCTAAAGGTGTTTGCTCTTGATTTTGTTGGACACTTGCAGCTGAGAAGAAATCCCCTCACGAGGCAGGCTATGATGCATTTCTCTGTGGTTCAGGTAAAATGTTTCTTAAACGCTTCTTCAGAGTTTGTGCTGGGACTTGGCAGTTCCTTTCCTGCTCTGTAGATATATTTGATGCTAAGAAATATGTGTTTATATACAGTCTGTTGCTGTTAGTAACTTAGGTGCACTTTCGTGAGTTTTTGCTTTCCATTTGTTATGTTTCTTTAGCTTTGTTCTAATGCCTCCTCATTATTCCTCCTTCTAGTTCTTCTGAAGTCAGCTCATTTGCTACTGTGCAGACCCACAGAGTGAGTGATGTTTAAATGTTTACTGAAAATTACATTAAATGGATGAGTCCTACGGAAAACAGTCATTAGTTTGCTCTGGCTGACTTCTTTTGCAGGCTGGCCTTCCTTTTGGATAAGAGAAAGTGTTACTGGAAATGTCACTGTTCTAATTAGATTTTTATTTTATAAATCTCAAAGTAATAGCTTTATGTCAAAGCTGACATTTTAAAAATGAAATCAGGGGCCACGCAATGGCTCGGAGGTTGGGAAATGGCACTGTGACCCCTTTATCCTTGAACAAGCTCTCTCAAGTTCAGATCACTTGGGTAAGGGTCAAATCATTTTCCATGAGTTTCCATTTTTGAAATCCGTGTGATTCAGTGCCTTCAGTTGAGTTCGTAAGAGGCAACTGTTCAAATCCCTTCCCTTTGCTTGTGGCTTTTTGACTTCTGTAGAAAATACCAAGATCTGAAATACCTATTTTGTCACCAGTTAAAGAGCTTCTTCAGGAGCTCTGTGCTCCCGAGACACCGTGCAGCAGGGCAGCGCTGGAGAAACATAACTTCTTGTTCCATTGTGTTTTCTGATGTAGTGATGCAGTGGAGGCTGATCCTTCTTTCTCTGAATATCTCACCGCGTTAGCTGAGTATCTGAACAAAGTGAATTTCATCCGAGGTGGTGTTTCAAGCATTGTGCGTATGAATTGAAGGTCTGGGACCAGTTTGTGGGGTGCATAGGTCAGTAGCCTAGTTGGTAGCTTCAGTAGAGGAGAAAAATCCACCGGTGCCTGGGGCCACCTTGGCAAAAGTTGTCGTCATACAAATGACACAACTGACCTTTCAAAATGGCAAATGAGTTTAATTTATTCTTTGTGAAATGTATTCATATTGTTACCCTGTAAGAGGGCATTAAGTCAGTTTACATTGCTGTTTTTCTGGTGGTTTCTCCGTGGTAATTGTGACAGTTTGTTTTTATGACTCATGTTTAGAAGAACCTTGAGACAAAAGAAAAATAATTTTATGCCAACAGCTGTGTTGTACAACGGTCTTATTTGTGTGTCACAAATGTATATATATACAAATGTATATTTTCTTATTAGTAATGCTTCTATAGTATTTCTGAACTCAGATATGTCTCAGTATTATACATTTTCCAGAATTTTTCTGGGGAAGATGTTCCCTGCCAACATCCCCCTGTCTTGGTTGTCCATGTCCGAGGCTGGCCAGGGCTGAATGAAAGGCATATTTATCAAGAGTTTAAAGCTCTCTGTTGCTTTGATGTCAGGCGGCTTTCAAAGAACCAGTTCATTCTGCTCTCCAGTAAATTTAAGCAGTAAGTGACTGGAAAGTCTGATTTTTTTCATCCCTTGATCCTCTTTGATCCAAGTTTTCATCTCACCCTCCCTCTGCTGCAACAGCTCTTAGAGAAGGAGATTTCAGTCCTGAGCTGTGGGATGCTGTAAGCAGCCTGCAAGCCACGGCTCACGGCATCTGCTTTCATTGCAGCGTCAGGCTTGTTCTGCGAGATTACAAGCATCACCCTCATCTGCGGGTTTCTGTCTATCGCCACTGGAGGCACTCTCCACACGTGAACTGCCTTCTGCAGTGAGTTATGGAAATTACAGAAATGGGGAGGGGGAACGGCGTTCCTCGGGGTGCCTCGCCCTGTCACAGCAGCAGTCTGCCGCTCTTTTGCAATGTTCTTCTGCCAGCCCTTCAGGAGAACAAGGGGATCAGAAGAAGGTTCACTTGCCAGCTGCTGGGCGGCTACTTGGGAGCTTTCAGCCCTGGGCAACTGGACTTCAGCCTTGACCCTGATTAACCAGGGAATGTTACCCCATGGGTAGCACAAAAGTATGTATGTGCTATCATAACAGACAGCAGGTTATCTTAATGAGCTGTAGTGCTAGCTCTTGAGGAGAGAGAGGTGAAGTCTCCCAGGTGTGGGATGGATGTGTCTTTCCTACAGCAGAGTTGAAAGCTCTGTAGTAGGAGAGCATTCAAAGGGCACCCCTCTCATGGGGCAGGCAGTGACAGCAATGCTCATGAAGGGGGAATTTCTGCCCTGGCAGAGTTTAGGAAAGAATCTCAGTGTTTAATAAGAACAAAATTAAGCCCTAAATATAAGTTGCCTGACAGCATTTTATTATTCTTGCCCTTTAGAGTCTCTGGTATTGTGGCACTGTGGTCTCTCTTGGCCTTTGTACTTGGAGGAGCTCCTGGCTGTTGGTTCTGAAGGACTCTTACAGATGAGACATGAGCAACACATCTTATTTTTCATGTTTGTTTAGTTTTGTTTTGTTTCATTTCATTCAATAAACTATGAGAAAAAAAAAAGCAATGAATAGTGGTTTATAATTGCTTTCTTGGACATGTGTTTTTAAAGAGGCTGTGTTGGTTTCCAGTTTGCGTATTTTATAATCTGTTCAAAGTGTAGTCCCCTCCTGAAGAGGGAGGGATGGATGATTCTTTCAGTGCCTAATTTACTTTGATCCCATGTTGGTTCTTCACAGCTATTCATAATCCCAGTTTATTCCCAGTGCTTGTGCTGCTGCATGAAACACATTTCTGATGAAGTTTATGAAGTTATGAAATGAAAGAGGCTCTTTTTAGCTTCGATTGTAAAGCAGGGCAAATCTCACTGTTTACCAAATGAAAATGGGCAGAATTGATGGAGAAACCACTCTTGGTGCTCATGAAGGATTCTGGGGAAGAGTAAATAATTTGCAGTGGTGTTTTCAGTGGCAGTGGAGCAGAGGATAGACACAGATAAGTGGGATTTATCAGCTTCCAATTTGTAGAGTGTACACAGGTCAGGTGGGTTGGCATGCATTTCTGTTTGCTTCTAGTGCACAGCATGTGAGCAGTCCTTTATCCAAAAATATCATGAGACATGCTTTGTTGATCAGTTTCTCTGATACAGAGAGAGAGTACTTGTCAGTCCAGGGACTGTGGTCTTCAGAGTTTTCTTACTTATTGTCTTCTCTTAAGAACAGCCTGCTGATCCATGGTTTTCATGAGTCAGACCTAATGGGATGGGGGCCATAATAATCTAATACGTAGAATTGGCCTTTAATGGGCTGTAAAATGGGAGTTTCTGCTTGAAAGCAGCAGCACGCTATTGCGGTGTGCCTGAGGATCACATGCCCTCTGCTGCTAACCGTTTGCTGCTTTGCTGCTCTTTAGGAGAAAAAGGCAGTGTCTCTCCAGATGTGGTTCTCGAGTTCTGCACAGCTTGTGGTTTACAGCTCTTATTTCATAAGCCAGCTCCTAGCCAGACTAGTAACTGACTTCTTGATTAGTTTTGGTTTGGGGTTTGTTTTTTTTTTTTTTTCACCCTTTCAGTGACAGGGTTCTCTGTCACAGTGTTCCTTCAAATACCAGTGTAAGTATCTCCCTGTTTATTATGTAATTTTTTTTTTTTTTTTTTTTTTTTGTCTTGGCATTGCTAAGACATCCACCTTGTGTAAAGGAGAGCACAGGCTCTGTGTGTTGTGTAGATTTGGGAAAATTTTCACTGGATGTTACATGCAGTAGCATGCATTTTCCCATAAAAACACTCTTCTTGGCTTATGGTCTGGGAAACACAGTACCCTTCTTTGGGGTCCGGATTTAGCTAGCTACTTAAATGTGGGGAGATGCAGCCTCACTTGCATCTTCACAGTCTTGGGATCATGGAAATACAGATGCACAGCAGTTTTTTAAGGGAGCACGCACTTTGAAGGAACAAAGAAATTGTTTGTTCTGTCTTTTAAATTCTGCTCCTTTCCTTCCGTTTGCTTCTCCCACAAACAAATAAAGAATTAGTTCCATACAGTATTATTCTCTCTCTTGGTTCACCCCCTAGAGAAACACCCTTCCCCATGGAAGAAAGCAGAGATCCTTTTACCGCTTTCTGAGAAATAGCCCATGGGGTCTGACTGTGCCGTCTCGCAGCCATGCCTCATGGAGCAACATAGTGTAGTGAAGCAAGAGCCTTGGCTTTCCTGCATTAGAGCTGGGAGAGCTTATAGAGATCTAGCGGATATTCCTACTATAAATCAGTGAAGTTTACATGCAGACTAAAGGCATGAAGAAGAAGTGAGAAGGTTGAGTATATTCTGATCTGCCTCCTAGGGGAGAACTTAGAGAAACAAGTAGGCTGTCAGAGATAACCTAGGGTCACTCGCTGCTCAGAGCCCTTTAAAGACATCAATCAGATGTACTAGCAGTCAATTCCCATGAAATGGGTTATCTGGGGGAGAGGCTAACAAAATCAGAGCAGCAACTTTCAGCTGTGGGAAAAGATTTACAAGCTTTTCTGGGCAGCTGTAGATCAAGACAGAAACTCCCTGAACATACCAGTCTGGCCATTCCAACCTCAGCTGCTGCTTTTGCTCCAGCCTAGGGAATTGTTATTAATTGAAGTTGGAAGTGTCAAAAGTAGTTCAGGTTATGCCTGTTCCTGCGTGTCTTCAAGGAGTGGGGATTACTTTTGATTCTTGTGAAGCCAATTCAAAGTGGTGCAACCTGCCTCGTAACTCTGGCTCTGAAGAGGTACATGTCGAGCTGCTGAGTTGCTCAGAGGGCTGGCAGCTTGGAAAATCAAACCTGTCTGCCTAAGACAGTGATAAAACCATAGCAAAGCCCCTACCAGCAGTTACAGCACACCTGCTTCTCAGCACTAGGAGAAAGTTGTACGTGAGCTGTAAGGCTCAAAAGGATTATTCCAACCCTCAATGAAACAAATGTTGGTATTCAAGTTGTGAAGGTGCAAGTTAAAAGTATAGAGCATTCCAGATCAGAATATATAAGTTTCCAAGAACAATTTGGTTTTTGGTACATTGACTTTCCATGTTCTAGATTAAATATGTGGTTTTTGAGATAATGTCTCCACTCCAGTGGGAAGCCTCTTGGGCACCTCCTGTTGCTGAACACCCAGAGTGGAAGTCTTGCACTGGAAGAGCTCAGCCTTGTCTCAGACTAAAAGAAACACCATCACATCAGCCTGTTATTGGAAATTTTATTTTTATAATTGATTTTGGGAAAAAAAAGCCCCAACAAACAACACTGTTCAATTATGCAAAAGTGTCTATGGATCTGTGCATGAAAAAGGCAAAACTATCTATAAATATTTCATAAACATCATCCTTACTGCTCGTGGCTTCAGTGGTGATATGCCAGAGAGCCACCGCACGCAGAAGTGCTCCTGTGTGACATTCAGACCCCTGTCCTGCAACGGGGTCAGAGGAATGAGACCTGGATCCTCGGCGTGAGGGGGTTTCAAATGTGCCTTTCCTGTTGGCATCGTAACAAACAGGTGAGTAGTTGAATCCTCTTGCAACTTCTCCCCAGCCACATGAGCATATAGAGGTGAATGAACAGACAGATGTTTCACCAAAGGCAAGATGGAGATGGGGCTCCTGCGCCACGTAGGACAGACAAGGAGTGACTGACACTGGTTCTCCTGTTTCTGGAGCAAGTGTGCTAAACCACAGACCTATACAAGATCTTCTGCATCTAAGCTTTAAAAGAACATGGTAACAGCAAGTCTCTTGGCAAAGAACCTAATGCCAGTGCTGTAAGTGAGGCTTGTCTTTAAAATACCTGAGATGGCAATCTGCAAGAGGTAATGGTTATGATGCAGGAGAAACACATGGTGTCCTGGCAGAAACACTTCTACTTTAAAAAAAAAAAAACCAAACCCATGCTATTTAGACCATGAAAATGGGTTATTTGACACCACCCAGGCACACACAGACTGAGGCAATCCTGAAGTAGTTCTAAGTCTGGACCTTGTCCAACCTGCTGCCACCCTGGAGTTCACCTGGGTTTCTAAGCACTGGGAGAGTAATCCTCATTCTGTATTTTGGAGTAATACAAGCTCTTTTATTTGGCCCATAAAACTTGGCAGTAGTCATCAGACAGAGCTGTGGCATGTTCTGAGCTTGCTCTAAAAGATGTTGCTAGAAATTTCTGCTTTGCCTCCAGCTTTTGGTTGCCAAAGGTCACGCTGTCTGTAATTGCTCATTGTTTAACAAGCTCCTTGCTTACAACTGCAGCCAGCATAACCAAAAACAGCCCTTCACTCACCCACTGCAACTCATCCATCCTGTGGTACAACAGGCTTTGACTTTCCTACAGAAATAAAAGGATAAGGATTTGCAAACCCACAGGCTCCCACAGCAGTGCTCAAAACCTGTCCCCTCCCCTGGGATGCAGGATTGAAACAGCTGGATGTAATTGTTCCATAGGGCCGCTGGGTCATGGGAACTGATGCCACGGGCTCCTGTGCCTGCCCTGCGGTGCGGCAGCCCCCAGGGATGGGCTGGGGCTGGCTGCAGCCAGAGGCACCCCTGTGCAGGGGGGATGCTCTTGCTCCACAGCTTGCATTGGTGAATATCCTATATGTTCTATAACTTAGCACAAGAGAAGAGCATGGTGATGGGCGACAGATCCCATAGGCACCTGTCTCCATCTTTAGGCTCCCAAACACTTGTACAGTCTGCCTGGCACCTCCGATTCCACACGTTCTCCCTACTGAGCTTAGCCTCCTTCACCAGTGTGCTTCCAGTGGTGTTACTGCTGGAGAAGGCACAAATAGTGCTGGAGGAGGAACAAATAGTGCCTGTCGGTGGCCACTGGTCCCTGGTGGGCTCGCATCAAGCAGGAAGCGGGTCTGCTGCTGCACAAAGCACTGCTCTGTCCCCTTGCTGCAGGTGGCTCCCAGGGAGGATGTGGTCAGCTATTTTTATGAATATTTAGCAGCCTTGCTGCTGGCAAGAGTACAAGGGACCCTGGTCCCACTCTTTCTTCCCAGCTGTTGGCCCCACCAGGTCCCAGGGTTAGCAAGCATAAAGAGAAATGGGCTTTGCCTCTCCTCAGTGGGGAGAAGGGACCGGGAGAAGCTGGATTTGGAGAGGATGGGCAGGAATAGGTGACTGGGAGCTGGAGGGGGTGTGAAAGGGTTTGCTGCTGCTGATCAGTGGGATCCAGCACAAGGCTGGAGATTTTGGCACCTTCACTTGCACATTGCTCCCTTCTCACTGAAGGTCACCACTTCCCAAATCCCAAATTCACCTACAAATGGAATTTTCCCACAAAATTGGGGGAATTTTGGAAAGAAAAAAAAAATCAGAGCGTTCACTTTAACTTTTCAAAAACTGATTTTCTTTGACAATGGGAAAATATTTTGGTTTTCTCACAACATGAGTCTGACAACACCCTGTAACGGCCTATTCATGCAATTTTACAAGA